CCCGCTATCCCAGCCCTGGGCTCACTCCCCTCCAGCCCTGCTGGTGCCCCTCAGTCCTGACCTGCAGCCCCCTGCTATCCCAGCCCCAGACTCCCCACGGCCACGGTTCTGCAGATGCGCTACAGAACACCAGCTATCCTCAAGGCCAAACCTTCGCCTCACTTACCGCTCTGGGCCTGTTCGGAGCCCGCCCCCCCGCCCCTACTCCATTAGCTCCAGGAGAAACCAGCACCCAGAACGAGCCAGAAACCAGGCTCTGCCGGGGATTCCCACCCAGGGTTGGGCTCAACTCAGGCAGCCCCTGAGCTGCAAGGACCCCCCAGCTCTCTCCTCCTCGAACCCCCACTCCTGCCCGTTAAGCCAGGCCAGCAGCTGAAACGGCCCCGGTAACTGACCGCGGGAGCTTTGCATTTGCACAGGCCTCGCCCAGAGCAGCAGCAGACTCGGCCTAGACTCAGAGCCGCGGTTCTCGGCCTATTAACCATTGTGGGCCGCAGCCACCCAACACAGACACGACCTGTACGCCCTGAGGATGGGACCCGGGCTGCAGCTGGTGCTGATGGGCTGAGAACCGCTGGCCTAGAGAGGGGCCCGAGCTGGGACTAGAAACCCACCTGCACCAGGCCAGCGGCCGGGCTGTGCCTCTGCGTCTGGAATGACGGAGGGGAAGGGGAGGGTTGGATTACGGGGGGTTGGGCAGCTCCCCTCTGCCCCCCCGAACTCCTGACGGGATTCGCTCATGAAGGCGGGTCCCAGAGGTCGGGGACATGGGAAGTCCCAGCCGGGCTAGGATGGAACACGGGCGGGGCCGTTTCGCTGCCCTCCAGAGGGGCACTGCGGGGCGCGAACTGTTTCTGTTGGAGCTCCCCGTCTTTAGCTGGAGCAGAGGCTCCTTGGGGCCAGGGGTGCCCGGAGCCAGGGAGGACAGAGGGATCCCTGCTCCAGCCCCGCACACGCCTGTCTGTCCATCCGCTGTGAATAGGGTGACCAGATGTCCCGATTTTATAGGGACAGTCCTGATTTTTGGGTCTTTTTCTTATATAGGCTCCAATTACCCCCCACCCCATGTCCCGATTTTTCACATTTGCTATCTGGTCACCCTAGCTGTGAAAAGAGTAGAGTCTGCAAACCGAATGTGCACTGGGGGGCTCACCGCTCCCAGCTCAGACCCCGGGCCCACAGAGGCCTTTGGGGACAAGGGGGGAGCTGGCAATGCCCCCCCACATCCTGGGCTGGGGGCCCTCGTGGGAATCAGAGATGCTGGCTCCCAAGCAGCGATCTAGGGGGTCTCTCGTCTATTGCACGCTCCGCTCAGGGTGACCCGTCAGCTCTAGTAACTGCAAGGCAGCAATCCTGCAAGGGCCACAAGTGAAATGAGTTTGTCGGTCTCAGCTTAGTCTTTTGCCAGCGTTGGGCTCCGGCCAGGAAACGATACACGCTTTGGCCAGAGGCGCCTGGCACTGGGAGAGCTCGGGGTGGGTGGAGCAGGCGGGGCGGGGCTGCAGACTGGGACGGTGGGATGTTGGCAGAGTGGTGAGTTGGGGGCACAGAGCCGGAGTAGCAGGGGATTTTCACAAAGCAAATCCACCTGGTTTTCTCCACACCTGACCGTGTTCTGCCGGGGAGCGTGGGGGCTGGGCTGCGTGGGCATCGGATACCAGGTGTTTTTCTCACGAGCGCAGGCAGGATTTTTTAAAACACAGACTAAACCAACTGCACTCCCCACCTCCCTCTGCCGTGGAACACCTGAGAATACCTCTCCCCCAATCACAACCAGCCCCCTAGCCTGGCAAACACCCCCAATCCCCACCACTAGCCACGCTGCCAGGGCAAGGCCGGGGTGGCTGAGCTCCAGGAATGCCCGGGCCCGATTCTGCTCTCCCGCCCTTGACGTCTGCGGCATTCGCTGGGCCTCAGGAAGAACAGACCCCAGACCCCTCTCTCTGCAGCAGCCCGGCCGGCCCCTGGTAGCCGCTCCCCCCGTGTGCCCCCTCGTACTCACGAAGCCGGCGTAGGGCACCCCGTTGTAGACGGTGCCGGAGGAGCCGCTGGACAGGTGGGAGCGGCTCTTGTCCAGGGCGATGAGCAGGCTGGTGTCCTGAGCGCCTCCCTCCGACCCCTTCTTCCGGAACATGGTGCTGAGTCTGCGATGCCACCCTCAGGACCCTGCTGCCATGGCCCCCCCGGGGGACCAGAGCGATAGGACTCAGCAGCGATTGCTACCCCTAAAGGGGAGCCATCGGGGGCCTGGGCTCCAGCCCCAGGGTTGCACTGAGTAGCGTGGGGGGGCTGTGCGGACTCTACTCCAGGAGCCCCTGTTCAAAGCATCCCTGCGCCTGGAGGTGGGTGAGAGGTGATGGCAGCATCGTAATTCCTAGTGAACCAGCAGCTGCGATGGGATCCCCCCCCGCCCTCTGTGCACGCCCCCGCGACGGAGCTGCCAGGGGAACTGGGTCCAGCAGCAGCCTGGCGGTAGCTGGTAATTATAGAGCTCCAATCAGTGCAGGATGTAGGCGCTGCTGCTGGAGGAGGAGACTGGAGTCCTGGGAGATGTGTGCAGGAGAGAGGGGAGATGGATGCAGCTTTTCTATGCCAGGCAGAGAGCAGCGGATGCAGACCCGCTCCGGTGTGGGGCTGAGGTGTCTCTGGGCCCCACATGACACAGCGGGTCAATGGCAGTGAATTGCACGGCAGGGCGGGAAGGGCTGATGTAAGAGAATTACACAGCCAAAGGATTAAGGGCTTGTCCCCCTTCTACGTGTGGGAGGCAGCAGCACCTAGTGGTTAGAGCTGCACTCAACTCCCTGGTGCCACAACAGCACCAGCTTGGAACAGCGTCATCCCCCCTGTCCGCACAGGATCCCAAAGCGCTGCACACACTTGATGAATCAAGCCGCACAATCCCTCTCCCCGGGAGGCAGAATCCTCCCCGCTTCACAGATGGGGAAACCAAGGCACAGAGCAGGCACCCACATTCATGGCAGGAATTGAACTCTGACCTCCTGATTCCCAGGCCAGTGCTCTAACTGCACGGCTACGCTCTAGCCGGGGGCTGGTTACTAGCCGGAAGAGCCACTAAGCTACAAGCCCAGGGGAAGCCAAAAATAAAACTCCCCCCCCCCCCCGCAGCAAGGGAATGAATTTTAACCCCCCAGTTCACTTTGCTGCGTTTCTGCCCTTTCTTGACGGTTTTGGCCATTTTGTGCAAGGAAAAGAGACGCGTCGGTTTCGGTTTCGGCCGTAGCCACGTCACTGGCGCTTCCAGGCTCTCCTGCGGCAGGTCAGAGCTGCCGTCTGTGAGCCGGGTGTTTTAGAAACGCAGCCTCCATGGGAATCCCGGTCCATGCGCCTTGGGGCTCAGCAGCCGTAATCCTCAGGCCCTTACAAGGCTTGGGCCCAGCCCGGTCAGACGGCAGCGTGGAATGGGGCGCTCTGCAGAGGATGCTATTAGTGGAATGACGTCAGTTACAGTTCTTGCGAGCATCTCTGGCCTCTCAAGTCTGCGCAAAGTCCTAGTCCCCAGTGGAAAGAGACATTAAATATTAAAGACGCCTCCATGAAAAACACAGAGAGAGAGAGAGAGAGAAGCCTCTGAAACCAACAGCAGAAGCAGCCGCTTCTAAACCCAGGGAGGGAGAAGCAGAGGAATTTTAGCCTCCCACCAGTGGATGAATGAATCTATTCCCCTTCCCGCGCTCTCGGTCCCCTGTGCCGACGCTCCCCGGCACCTTGAGGAGAAGACATGAACCAGGGTTCGCTTCTGGGCCCTGGCACCACGCACGAGGCTTTGCACCCGGCCCGGGCTCTGCTCGACAGCAAAGGAGCTGACGTGCCCACGTGACGGGGAGGCAATGGAAGGCACACGGCCGGGAGACGCAGAGATCTGCAGCGACCCAGGCTGACGATCTCAGTTTGGTGGCCAGGTTAAGCTGGCTTTGGGCCCAACTGAAGAATGAGGTGGCCCCGCTCGGGCTGCACCCCGCAGTGTCTGGATAAAAGGCTCCTCCACATGGTCTTGCTTGGCCTCGGGAGTAGGCCGAGATTGAGGGGCATCGGCAGAGCTGTGCGTGGGGATCCCGGGCTGGACCAGCTGGTGGAGCTCTGGGTTGTGATTCAGGTGCATTGGCACAGCTGGCAAGGGGTCCAGGACTGGAAGAGCAGGGGTGGGGTGTGTGGGGGGGGTCAGGACTGGCACGGCACTGGGGGTGGCTGCAGGTTGGGTGCATCGGCAGTGTCTGGGCTCCATCATCCCAAGGCGAGGGGCAGGGCTCTGATTTTGATCACTGTGATCACAAAGGTCCCAGTCAAAGCCACGGCAGCTCTGGGCCAGCTGTTCCCGCGCACATCGCATCTCCAGGGCTGCAGGCCTCGGTGGGATCGCACACAGCTGGCTAATTGGGGACACATCCTGCGTCTCTGTCCAACACCCGACAGATCTGTCGCCCGTATTCCTCGCTGCTGCTTCCCTAGCTGCCGAGCCCCTTGGATACGGGACCAGTGAACAACCTACCCCCCGAGCTGCCACCTCCTGCTACTCTGTTCCCCACCAATGCCACGCAGCGGGCAAAGCACCTGTGATGCACGCCCAGTCCTCCCCCTGGGAATGATCCCTGGGGTGCCCCAACACCTGGGAAGGATCCGCAGGAGTGGTGGGTGGGCCAAGCTGGCAGGCAGGTGCCAGCACATGGGCAGGATCCAAATTCATCTCTGGAGCGTCCCAGCCTGGCAGAGGCCACCAAGGCTGGAGGAGGGTGGCCCTGTGCCAGTCCAGCTTCCCCTCTATTGAGACTGGGGGCAGAGGAAGCGTGGCTGCAAGGGAAAGCGCTGCAGAGCCAGGCCTGACTAGGGAGGGACAGAGTAATGGGGCGGGATGGATCCGGAGTGTGGCGGATCCTGAGCGTGGGTTCAGTTCGGATCCTGCTGCCCACGGATCAGCCCCGCCAGTGCTCAGAGAAAGCCCTTTACACACGATTGGCCAGAGCCGCCCGCCCCCCTGGGAAGCACAGAGCATCAGCCCCTTTTCACAGAGGGGGTAACTGAGGCACGGAGAGGGGAAGTGGCTCGCCCACGTTCAGACAGCCAGTCAGTGGCAGAGCTGGGAACAGAACCAGGAGCCCCCGGCTCCCTGTCTCACTACAAAGCCAGCCTGGCCCCACGTGTCTCGTCCAAATCTCTCCAGTGTGCTCCGTGGGCTGGAAATCCTCCTCCAAGAGTCTTTCTTGAGGAATGGGGGCCCAGAGGGCTGCTACGACCAGCGCTGGCCACAACCTGGCAGGACAGAGGGGTCTGAGAAAACAGGAGTCTGGGGACGGTAGCGAACATCCAGGCCCTTGCTGTTGCTGTTAGCAGGAGAAATGGACGATAGGGGTCAGGTATTGCTTTGGTGAAATCCTGTTTATTTACACAGTCCTGCTCCCTTGGACACAGGCAGGACCTTTGCTCGGAAAGCCCCAAGTCTGAGCCCTCAATCAGTTCTGTGCTCAAGGAGCGGTGTCTCTCTGCTCCTTCTCCAGGCCACACTCAGGACTGCTTCCCTTACTGTCCGCCGGATTTCTCACCTTACTCGCGCAAACAGCTTGCCAAGCAATACCCCAGCAACTGCGTTCTTACCAGGCTCAGGGAAGCCCCTCAGATCACATGGCTTAACCCTGCTCAGGCTTTGTCACGCAGACCAGTGCCTTGGACAGTAGCCTCCTATTACTTCTAACTATCACTCCATAACAGGGCATTTAATTGCTCCTCCTATTTTGTCTGAGAGAAGGGTAGTTAGTGCACAAGTCGGCTTTAACCAGGCTTGTGATGGTCTTTAGATCAAAGACCTACTTGATGGTGGCCACTGATTTGAGTGCTCCTAACCTTTACAGAGAGGTTGGCTTGAGCTTGGCTCCAACTCCCAGCAAAGACTCTTGGGTCGAGGGATCTGCCTTGTCTGCCTCTCATCATGGTCCCAGAAAACCAGGACAGAATGAAGGTCTCGGCCTCCATTCTCCGCTCTCCATGCTGTGACAGGCCCCAGCCCGTCTCCGATACAGGACGGCGGAGATCTCCAGGCTGGTGGAGACACGCAGAGAAAGATGCTCATGTTTCTCTCTTAGATAGAGGCCCTGGGCCTGCACTGATTCGCTCCTGCCAGCTGCTGTGGGGAGTGGAGGGCTGGCGCGGAGGGTGGAGGGACAGGGGGCGTTATTGCCCGTGCAGTTTCCATAGGGTGCGTCTGTCTCTGTGGATCCTAGCACAGTGCTGCACGCCAAGGGGCTGCGGCTGTGACCCCAGAGTACAGAGGTGGGGCTGAGGGGCAGACGTCAGAGCAAAAACTCCCCAGCAAGGTCATTCTGGGGCTTTCCCCATCCCCTCAAACTGGCCTGTTTGACCTGCCTCCCCACTCCTCTGCTCTGCCTCATCCCCCCTGGGTGGAGCACCCCCTTCCCCCCACAGCCAAGCTGAAGGAACAAGAGGGGGACTCAAACCCCCTAGTCCAAGGAGAGGGAAGATGGCCTAGTGGTAAGTGCTCAATTTCCTGTGAGACTTAATCTCCCTGGGCCCATCCGTACAATTAGGACCATTCTGTAGGTCCTTAGCAGCCCCCCAGCACCGGAGCATCTGAGCCCCCACAACCTTAACTGGATATCACACACACACCCATGCGGCAGGGCAGGGCTGTTATCCCCACTATACAGACGGGGAGCTGAGGCCCAGGGAAGCTAAGGGCAGAGCCACAAAGGGATTCCAAAGGGAGTTAGGAACCTAAATACCTTTGAGGGTCAGGGCCGAAGTGATTTGCCTGAAGTCCTACAGAGCAGGGAATTGAATGCTTGGTCACATCATTTCACTGCTCCATGCCTCAGTTTCCCCTCCCACTCTTTGTCTTGTCTATTTAGCCTGTAAGCTCCTTGGGGCAGGGACTGTCTCGCCATGTGTCCATGCAGCGCCCAGCACACGGGAGACCTGGGTTCAATGGGGACCTCCAAGGGATATTAAAATAAAAACCCTGGGGAGCCATGCAGCGGATTCAGTAGATCTAAGCTAAGTGGCTTTTCCCCTCACTCCCTGTAGACAAGACCGTCTAGACATGACTCCGATGGGTTGGTTGTCAAGCTCACTTCACCTCCTAAAATCCTCTTTTCTGAATAAAGCGCACCCGGAAGTGCCCCCTGGCTGTTGGAACCCTCCGCTGGGAGCTAGAAAGTCTGCGCCCGGGAGAGGGACGTGATCAGAGGGGTGAGGCAGGGGCAGGCACACACGAGACACCGCCATAGGTACTGGAACTGGGGGAGCTGCCGCACCCCCCGGCGTGATGTGGTCTCCATCACATGCAGGGTTTACAGTTTGGTTCAGTGGCTCTCACTCCCCCCCCCCCCCCCACACACACACTGTTCCAGTTCCCCTGGATATCACCGATGCCAGGAGCTGAAATGAACAGTGCATGTTTCCTGGCATGAGCCAGCCTCATATCTGCGAGTTTGGGTGACAGTCGGCAGATCGTGATCCCCAACATATTCTGCGAAAGCCGCCCCCACTTCTCGGGCCATCTGGTGTCTGTATTTGGAGCAATCCTGGAAGGGAACTCTGGGGCCAATTCAAGGGAGCATTTAAACCCAATTCCACACCACTCTCATTCCCTCCCCCACAGGCATCTGAAAGAGACACACACACACACACACACATACACACTCGCAATTCCACAGTTAAAGTTGTAACTTGCTTTCCATTCCAAGCCAGATTTTTGTGGCCCTCCTCCCCCACAATCATTCTTCTCTGGAGTGCCACACGCATGATCCTTAGCCGGAGGGGTGGGGTGGGTGAATATTTTGAGGTTAATCACATGAGGTTTCTAAGATTTGGGACTGGAAACCAGTGTGCATTTCCCTCTCTGAAAAGCCATCTCTCTTCAGCTGGGAAGCCGTCTCTCTAAAGTAGCTTGGGGTAGAGGCAGAGTCTCTTTTATTCCCTAGCCTCAGGTGACGTCTAGGGCTTTGAACAATTTCCGGTAACTTCCAAATGCTTCCCCCAGCCTTATCTGCTATCTCCGAGCCCTCGCTCAGAGCCTGGGGGACTTTACCACCTTTGCCCAAGCGCTCACGGTGTTGGTGAACTCTGCAGCCAAACGGCGTTGTTGCAAGAGCAGCAGATGCCACCTTAACTCTGCCCCCTTAATGTCACCTCTCCTCCCTCACAGGCCTCTCCTCACCAATGGGAGGAACCCGTCAGGTGCCACACGAGAGAGATGCAGGCTGCCTCCTTGGCTGGCCGCGGTGTGCACTGTCTGACTGCACAGCCACGAGGTGTGTAGAAGGTGCCCTGTAAACTGAGGTATTGGTGTTATGCTTATAAGCAGCACACGGGATCTTTCTCAGGGGAAAAGACGATACGCCGCATTTATTGGAGATACAACAATAAGCAAACACACACACACACACACACACACACACACACACTAGTTACCAGTCCAGAGGCCAGCTAGGTCGATCACGGGCAGGGAAGTGCCGGGTTCTGTCGGTTGCGACATGATGCTCCGGGGAAGTCTCGGCAGGACAAACCCAACGTTTCATGGCAAGACACCCTGTTTACATAGTGATTTTCCTTCATTGGCACCAATGAGTTTTGGACCGTTCTGCTGTAATCAATTGTTGCTTGACGAGTGCTTGTTTCCTTAAATTGTTTTTCTCATCCTTTATCTTGTTCTTTCATCAAGTCTCTCAGGGAGTAACCCCAGGCTGGTTCTGATCCCAGCTATCCTGTCCTCATTGATACGTGCCTGACTCACCTTTAGAGTCGTCAATCTGCCTTCCTCTGACATCTCAATAGGGGCGTGTTGCAACCTCTTCAGTTCCTCCCTAGAACATCTGATCCGCTGATGGCCTTCACACTCATCTCTTAACACCCCCATTCCTCATTCACACCCAACACAGAACTGATTTACACGGAGCATTTGAACAGGAACAGCACATTACAATGCAAGAGCAAACAATCACGGCGTCCTTTTACTTATTTTAAAATACTAAACCTAGAACAAGTGGTGACCCTAAAAGGTCTGTTACTGCCTTGAAATCAGCCCAGATACAGATTCTGGCTGATGCATCTTTACCAATGGCCCATTAGGCCGTTCCTTCCTGCTTTCGGAAAGGGTGGCTGGCAGCATATGGTCAAATCATACAGCAATACATTTAATACATGCTACATTATTATTCTTTATCCTTCATTTTAAATGATACAAAATACAAATATAAAAATTCTCCTCCTCCATCGGCTCAGGCACGGGGGTTGCAGGCGGGGGGGGCAGCGCAACAAGGAAAGAGTCGATCTCGAGCGGCTGCCCCTGAAGTGCCTTTAGGATACGATCGTTGGTTCGTGGAACCCAACCCGCGCCCCCTGTTGCAGGGCGGAGAGGTGCTGCTGGGGACAGGGTGGGATATTCCTGCAGGACAACGCAACCAGCCCTGGCTTTGCTGGGAGCCGGGCTCCTGGCTAGCACATGGGCCCATGTTGTCAAACCCAGCCACTAATTTTGTGAACCTCCGTTTTCAGGGCCTGACACTTACCCGCAGCTCCACTGAGGGCAGGGCTCCATTTTGCCCCCTAAAGCAGAGTGTCTTGTGGCCAGGCCACGGCACCCGACGATGCCAGCTCTCCTGTGATCAGCACAAGCAGGGGGCAGAGAGTCACTTCAAGTCCCACACGGGACCTGGACTGCAACCCGACGCCCCCATGCCGCAGGCAGAGCCCGCGCAGGCTAAACCTCCACGCGGTCCTCCCCCCGGAGGATAAAATTCAATTCAATCCACAGACAGGCGCTAGCAACGTGCTCCTCTGAGCCCTTAGCCAGCCCAGGTACTAAGGTAATGGGAGCTTCAGAAGTGCCTGCAGCCAAACGATACGTCAGCAATGCCACGTCCGAATGCACAGTGGGCTACGATCCACCTAGCTGGGCTTGTTGCCTTGGCACTCACTGCCCCAGGGCCGCAAAACTCCCCAGCCCCAAACAACGCTGCAAAGTGCTTCCTCTAGTGCCAGCCTCCAATGGCTCCCGCGCCCGGCCGCCCGGGCTGCTGCTGCCGTCCTGGTTAGCTACAGGGACGCAGGAAGGAGTATGCAGGCTGGAGCTTTTCTGGACTGGCTCAGATCAAAGCTAAAGCCAGGAGGGGTCAGGGATTTGGGGTACCCGGCGAGACAGGCTTGGGGCTGAAGTGCTCTGAGCCCGAGTCACGCCAGTGTCAGCTGGGGGTGTTTAGCTCCTCTGGAAATTGCCCCCCCTCCCCCGATCAATTTGGCCGCAGGTTTGCGTGATGCCAGTGCCGAGCAGGGCGCGTCTGTGTAATGCCAGCGTCAGTGGGGGCAGGGGGCTCCCGGATCTGGAGGCTAGAGCTAGGCCTTACACGGCTGCACCCTTTGAAAGGCCTCTGGCTCCACCTGCCGGCAGCACCCGGAGTTTTAGGCAAGCTGATTTTCAGCACCGGGATGTCTCCTCTGTGCCAGGCTGCGGTGCTGGGACGAGGCCGGCCATCACTTGGTCCTGGTACCAGAGGTGCTCCGCCAGCCCGTTCAGCACGTGCGCCACATGCGCCAGCCCAGCGCGGCCGTCCAGGGTCTGCCCGTCGGCCAGCCGGGGCCCGTTCACGCTTTTCATCCGCAGCACGGGCAGGCCCCAGGCTCGCCGGAACTCGGCCAGGTCCCGCTCTGTGACGTCGGCGTGCATGAACTGATCGAACCTGGGCGGGCGCCGTCAAGGAGGCAGCACTCAGCATGGCAGATGGATGGCAGCAAGGCACCAGCACGGTGCACCACCGGGGCATTGCACCACAACCACCGCACGGCTCCACCCAGATGGGCTGCATTCCGGCCTGGGGTCACCACCAAGTCCTGATGGGAGGAGGTGGCACATGAGTCCTTCCTCTCTCGCCATCCTTCCCGCTGGCTGCTTGGACAAGGGAAAGGGCCCATTTGCCCAGCTCTCTGCTTGCCACAGGGCAGAGCGACCCGAGTGCCGCTCAAGCCCAGGCAGTGCACGAGAGCTGCGTGGGGCTCTATAGGTCTGCGATTGGCGTGATGAGTGCTACAGGAAACCTGAGACAGAACCAGGGACTGTTCCCCACGGGAACCCAGTCACACCCACCCCCGTCATCCTCCAACAGCCTGACTGCGGGGTCCCATCGAGGGGGGGAAAAGATGGCGGTGCTCTTCCAAGCTCCGCCCACAGGTGGCTCCGATGAGATGCCACCCACAGAAGATGGGGCAGTTGCTCCACACGGGATCATGCATGTTCCCCGGCACCGCTGGGCTCCTGGAGCTTGTCTCCCCCTTGGGAGATCTGACTACGCCCATGGGCTATGCACAGGGCTGCCAACTTTCTAATCGCAGAAACCTGAACATCCTTGCCCCGCCCCTTCTCCAAGGCCCCGCCCCTTCTCCAAGGCCCCGCCTCCCGCTCCCTCCATCGCTCACTCACTCATTTTCACTGGGCTGGGGTAGGGAGTTGGGGTGCAGGAAGGGGTGAGGGCTCCAGCTGGGGTGGGACCAGAGATGTGGGGTTTGGGGTGCAGGAGGGGGCTCCGAAGTGCAGGAGGGGGCTCAGGGCTGGGGCAGAGGGTTGGGGTGTGGGAGGGGTGCAGGCTCCGGGTAACGCTTACCTCAGGCAGCTCCCGGGAAGGGGACGTGCTGAGCCCCAACCCCTGGAGAGCTCAGGGAGAGATACGGGCGTGCAGCTCCATGGGCCCCGCGTCCCTGCTCCCGCAGAAACGCCCAGCACCTGGGCCGCAGCCTCCTGCTCCCTACTGCTGCCAGAGCAGACACCTCCCAGTTCTTCCTTCCCTGGCTGCAGCCTCGCAAACCTGCCTCCCACGTGTCAGCACTGCTGGACAACAGCAACTTCTCGCCGGCAACCGAGGGGCTGCCAACAAGCAGAATCGACCCCCGTTAGCACTGGTGAGATGAACGGCACAGTTCACACCTCTCCGAGCGACCGCCCCAGGCTCTCTGCAGACTCAGACCTGCAGCGGTGACGCTCCGCTCATGTTTTTGAGGCTTTAATCACAACCTAGTGATGTCACTTCCCCACCCCAAAAAATGGAAGCAGAGATTCTGCAGAACAAGACAGCAGCTTCAGAGAGGTGCGGGTACGTACTGCCTGTTTCTGAGCCCTGGCCTGACTAGCAGTGAGAATGAAGGAGATAGGTCAGTGAGTGCCCTCCAACCAATCTCGGATAAGGAGGGAAACCAGGAACTCCTGGCTTCTATTCCCAGATCTGCCACTGGCTCCCTGTGTAGCTTTGGGCCAGTCCCTGCCCTGCTCCGTGCCTCAGTTTCCCCACCTGTGAAGCAGAGCTAATGATATTGACCTCCTGACAGGGGCCTGTTAGGACCAGTTCCTGTCTGCACAGGGATTTGAAGGCGTAACTATTGTGTACAGACTAAAAATTCCCAGCTTCCTCTGCAGCATCGCAGGAAGCAAACAGCCCTGCCAGTGTCTAGCTAACCCCCCCCCCAAGCAGGGCAGGACCTTCCACTGCTGGGTGAGGCGCATGAGGGAAACTATGCTAGGAAACCCCAGCGGTCGGTGTCACTAGAAGCAATCGACAGGGTGGAGTGGAGCCAGCGAGTCAAGGATACTTGGAGCCAATCACTATTTTGACAAGGTTTTCGGATCCCTCCGTGACGCGGGAGATCTGGCTGGGGAGGTCATCGAAGGACGAGCGGTCGGTGAAAGAAAAGAGGAAGAGGATGCCGTCTGCCTTCTCCTTGCAGGCCTAGAAGGGAGCGACACTGCATATCAGATGGGGTGCAGAGAGGGACTGGTTAGCAGCCTTACCCCTGGATTGCCAGACACATCCGTGTTGCATTCCTGACGGCCACTGACACCTGTGTGATCTGAAACGAGTCATTTCCTCCTGCTGGGCTGCAGTTCCCCCAAGTGGGGAAGGCCAACCAGCATCAGTCCTGGCTAGCACTGGCCCAGCAAGGTGTGCCTGACATGAGCAGCGAGGCCAGAGGGGCATAAAATGTAAATGAGAATCAGGCCCAAGGAGTTTTAGAGGCATTTCCTTCTGGAGCCAAGCTGGCAGGCTGTGTGTCATACAGACCCACCCCTCAGGGAGACAAAGGGGAGGGGAGGGGGCATCTGGTCCTGCTGTGAACCCTCAGCTTTACCCCTTCCCACGCAGGCTGTGCCGCCCGCCCATGCTCTCGCTCCTGACAGCGGACGTTTATTCCTTTAAGAGACCCAGTCCTCCCCAGTGGTTTTGCTGTGATGTAAGTGGGGTGCAGTTTATAGCACCCAGAAGGATGTTTAACACCTGCTGTTAGAGACAGGCTTACCCCTCCGGCCCAGTTCTGAACATCCCCCAAGCTTCGGGGGGCTGAAATCCAGACTCTGTTTTGTCAGTTTCAGCTCCCGGGGAGACAGCAGCTTCCCCAACCTCGGGGCTGACTCACCGGCAGGATGTGATCAAATTTCTTCAGAGCTGCTTCTCCGCAGTCCCAGAAGTGGAACCTGAAGATGAGCGCCCTGCCGCTGTCCCTCAGCTTGGCCGGCCAATATACCGTCGTCGTCTGGATCCCTGCAACGAGATTGTCCGCTGCTTTTAGCTTCCGAGCTCCCGGAGGGCTGCCAGAGCCCTTTCTCGGGCCTTGGAGGGAGTCACGTATTCAGCGGCCAGTGCACAGGAGACGTGGCATCTAATCCGGACTCTGCCAATGACCCCTTGTGACCTTGGGCTTCATAGTCTCTGGGCTGTCTCCCCATCTGTGAAATGTATCTGAC